ACTGTAGATTTGCATTTATATCATAAATTGTTGTAACCAAGTAAAATGTTATAAAACATTAATTAATAAACCAAGTCATAAAATATTATACAAATTATAATGTTATTAAAAAAATAAAAACGATTCGCTCGATTTTTATTCTAAATGTTTCTAATTCTTTTCTCAAAAATTAATTAAGGAAAAGCATAAAACGTCACAGTAATATGTTAAAGTAATATGTTAAAGTAATATGTACGTTAAAGTAATATGTACATACTTATGTATATTTATTGATCTTGATAATATTAAATTATTCTCGATATTATCATTGACTCATCGATATGTTAAAACGCATACCGAGGTCATACATAAAATTACGTTTTTTCTTGAAACATGAAAATATACTGGCGATATGCAAGTCGAAATTACAAAAATAATTAGTTCCGTCCACTACCAGGTAGAAAAAAATAAGCAGACTCGACTATATAAAAGAAATTTAGCCTGTGTTTTTCGTATATTCATGGCAGATTCTATTAACTTTCGGCGAAAACCTGATAATACCAAATGTATATCTAACTATTTTTTTCACGAAAATACAGGATCAAAAGTCCAAATCATTATTCGATCAATGCGTGTCCATCTGATGTTGATTTTCTTCTTCGCGGGCACTGTCTTAGCGCAAAGTGTTCGTAATAAAAGAGATACTGTAACGGTACGTATATTCTATTATACCTAACTTTAAAAAGATCAAAATCATTTTTCTATCATTAACAAATAATGTCATTATGAATAATTTTTAATTTATAAACTAATTGTTTGATACAAAAAGTTCCAAAAGTTTTGTAGATTTTTATTGATGAATATAATCATGAACTTATAATAAATTTATTAAAAATATTTTTATGTTTAAAACTCTACGTAAAATCTTTATGTAAATATTATTAATAATTTTTATATTTAAGAAATCTTGGTAATATAAAATAAGTATAATATAAAATATTTTTCTTCTTAAGCTTCTTTTATAATTTTATAAAAATTATATAAAAATATACTGTGTAGTTTATACCTAAATATTTATTTATCGAGAGCTGCATAAAATTCTTTTAATTCTTATATATAACTATTTTTTTACAGATCACAGAAAAACCTCCTTTCACTTCCATACCTGGAACTAACAATGAAAGTACAACAACGAACATTTCTAAAAATAATAGTGATGGAATTAATCGTGCCACTTTTAATCACCCGTTAAATATAATATCTAGATTTATATTGTTATTACCACGCTATGTTTTATCAACGTTTTTAAAAATGCTAATTTTTATGGGTACATTTATATTAAGGATTATGATAAAACCGGTAAGTTTTCTTTTTATTTAATAAAATTAGATTTCATTTTCATATTTCCATAAATATATTTTCTTGATATTAAGATTTAATCTTTTTAAACTATAAATATTAATATATGTACAATAATCCAAATTTTATATTTATTTATTTACAGTTTATATTACCGTTCAAGATGATACGCACGGTAATTAAAATGTTGCTGAAACCTTTCTTAAAAATATAAAACTGTTAGCATTGGATAACATTTTTCAAATTTTGGTAAATAATACGGATATACATCTCAAGTATAAGATCTTTTCCTACTGTCACATATAATATTATTTATTTTTAAAAATTCATTCATTCTTTAATTAAATAAAGTTTAATAAAATAAATATGGTAATCAAATTTTTTATCACATATAAATATATTCTTTATTAATAATATTTTGTTCAATACACATAATACATCACTTATACGTCTTATTATTTCGATTCTGCATTGTACAGTCTTCAACATTGTTTTAATTTTAATGTTCAATCAAATTGCTTCATCGATATCGAATAACGTATGAGAATAACAATTTATTTAAATTATTAAATCCCTATATATTTATCTATATATTGAATACAAAAATCTTAACAAATTATTTCATGCTTACGATATTGAAGATAATTTCATCTACAATTTCTATTGAGTACTCAATTCTAAATCACATAATCATGCACGCTATCTATTTAACTGCTCCCGATTATTAATATTGAGAATCGACATGACATACAATTACTGTAAAAAAATTTTACAATTATTATAAAATATAGTAATTGATTATTTCTCGTAAATGAATATTGAGTATATAATGATTAGAATCATCTCCATTATTATGAAAGTAGAATAAACTTGTTCCATTAGAAAATCACAATTTAACGACCGACCAATCTTCAACCTTGATATTATGCAAATTGATCTCATATCCAAATCAATTTTTCCTGTTGCTAGATTTTACCTTCACGATCTATAAATCTTGATTTATCCATAAATACTGATTAAAACGACGAGTCATATATTTCTCTTTTTTAAGTGACAGTTAGAAAGATAAGAAGATTAGAAACATAAATAATTATCAGCAAGATTGGACTGCCGTCGCGATATTAATCACCGGAGATTATAGGAAACATTATCAGGATCGAGACTAAGAGGGAAGTTCAACAATTAAATACCTATCGTATTTTTTGGTAAACAGCGGAAACTTTTTTGGTCAACTACATATCAACGTGCTTTCATCTACTTAAATTGTCGTATACATAAATGTATTCACAGAGTAACATTCAATAATCATCGGCAACAAAATCGTTGCATTTTTTTTCCCCTAATCTTTCCTAACTTCATAAATTTTCGTCTGGTTCGTGGTTCGTGCTTATGTATTTCTACAAATTTTTTTGAATTCGACGATTGAAATCGACGGGATCTCCCCATGAGATTTCCTCGGAAAAGAAGTAATACGAGGACGATCCCGAAAAGATGTTCGTTGTTGCCGCGTGCAACGGGAAATGGAAGCTCGCGTGGAGAGCGTGCTATCGATCTTAGACGGTGGTCTCGTCTAAGATCGATCTGAAATTCTAGGTGTTGGTAGTGTCGTAACTCTTGTACGTGTGAGACGATCTCTTGTGCCTGACCGTACAGAAGAGAATCATGCTGGCCACCTGGCCGAACAGCTGGAGGAAGGCCACGACCAGGCCCACCGTACCCACCACGTGGAGTCTGGTTACCAGCCACATTTGAATGGCGGTGGCGCATCCCTCCTTGTACCAAAGCTCCTTGTTGCGACCCTCCGAATCCAAGCGACCACAGTACCGTTCCCGTTGCATGCAGCAGGAATCCGGCACCCAATCCTCCTCGGGCCAAGCCTCGATTTGGAACCAATCCGTATAATCGCGTACGCCGCAGCAATGAAACTAGAAATGTACGCGTTTAAAACTTTATATTATATTAAACGTATACTTAATTCTAATATTTTCGTGCGCGATGACGCGATTAATCTGTTAAGCTGTGAGTTAGACTGTGCGTAAAAGTTTCTTTAAACATAAATTAACAGAATTTAAAAATTTGCTATATATGCCATGTATCCCTTACGGAAATCCAATTTAATATACTGAAAATTATTTATTTTGAATATTAAAAGCACTGAACAGCGGTGTTTTTAATACTCAAGATAAGTAACTAATCTCCTAATATTAAATTTCTTTTAAGGGATATAATATGTAATTTACAAGTAATATTTTAATTGATCATCCAAACCTCTGTATGTATATGGTCCCACATGGCGGAAAGTGTGCCCGGCTCCCTTGTGACGTTATAATGTTTCTCAATGCCGTACAATAATTCCTCCTTCAGACTTCTCGCGAGGTGTTCTCTAAACACGAACGCCAGAGTGCCCAGCATGAACTCGGCGAGAAACATGAGTATTACCAAGCTGAAATACTGAAAATTACGAGATAAATAAATAAACATTTGCTTCCCATTAATTAATTAAATGTTAATAATGTTATAAAAATGTAAATTAATTAAATATCTCTAAAGATTTTGAGATTTTCAAGAAGTTTTCTATTTGTCACGCATAATTTTTTTCTCAGAAAAAATAGTGTAAAAAACAGTGTAGAAAGTAAATGCCTTTTTACACTATATTATGCACGCAAGGTCTTGAGTAGCAACGAATTTATCGATCCGTCACCTATTACGCTACATAAATTTCACAAGGATTGTAACGAAAAAGAATTTTTTTCCTTGCTTAGCAGACAGATAACATAAAGAAATACAAAAGGAAAACAATTTCTTTAAAATACTGCGTATTTCACGTACGGACTTCGGTTTCGTGTGGCAAATTATTCAGGAGATATATCGGAAATTCAAATCATGCTCTACTGATCAAAGATATGCAAGATAGTCGAGTTAAACTTCACTTCAGTTCGTGCGCTGCATATGCAGTACGCTACGTACAAACTGTAAAAAAAAGTCCATGGTACGCTGCTGTCTGTAACACGATGGATTTTTGTAAGACACGTGTTTTACAATGGATGGACGTTGTACCAACCGTGATCAGCATGCATCTTGACTGGAACCACGCGCCGCAGCATCCGAAGAAGGCGATGACGAATGTGACGCATCCCGCGGCGAGCAGCAGCGAGTCCGCCGACACGAAGCTGTACTGCGGCACCAAGGTCGCATATCCGGAGTAAGCCAGTCGCAGCCAAAGGCCTGCACCCAAAATTCCGCAAGCGCATAACTGTAAAACAAATTGTGCGCGTCAGTTGTAGCGCGCGTCATAAACATTGGCTGATCGACAATAGTATATCTCAAACTGAATCCAACGAAATCAAAATGTAATATAGCATTATTACATAAATAAGGAATTATATTATACATATTTCAAAACTCATCGAACGTTTTTTTTTTTTAATTGCAAAAATACTTCTAAATTAGCTAAAAGGTATAAAACAAAAGCATCATTCGCAGTTAGTTTTAAGTCTATTTTGTTTACAAGTACAGTTCATTGGCAAATAATATTCTCGTGATTGAAACCGAGATATGTAAAACGATGGAAAATGATGTAATGTTAATAATGTTAAACAATAATTATGAATTGAAGAAATAATTCCGTGTGGTAGCTGCGTATGTCATGAAATCGCATTAATATTACTTGATAATTCATTTGATGTGTGTACTCAACTATCTGGGAATTATAATTAAAAGCATCAAGAGATTCTTATCACACGCCACTCGTAGCACGCGAGATCACTAGGTCAATGTCGTGTTATTTTCCTTCGATTGTCCCCGAACACAATGTACGATAGAAAGACATTATGCAGCCTTTAAGCCAAATCGCAAAACGGAAAGTAGGCCGTGGATTAGAAAGTACCGCGATTTTTCGAATCATCGACGTGAAAGAAAGATTGACAGCTACGTGAGATTTATTTGCTGCACGATCAGCCAATAAATGTCTAAGAAATAATATCTAAAAAAGTTGTACAATGGCACTTCACGCAGAAGTGGTAAGAATTAAAATAACAAAGAAACTGTATAATGTTATTACGTAAAATGTATAGAATATCATTCAATACCTCAATAGCTCAATACCTCATAACTTAATATTTTTAAAAACGTTAGTATTTTTTTTACAGTTCTGAACTTCTCTGAAAAGTAAAACAAACATTGGATAAATTAGAGGTATGTCGGACTTCAATAATGAATGCAAATAAATATAAAAATATTTTATACACTTTTTTACGTTCTAAAGACTGACTTATCGATTAATTTAAATTTTAATTAATTATCATTTTTCGACGTATCTATCTAGTTTACAATCTATAATATAACTTTTAATTGTGCAAGTAAAGCTAATAATGAAAATATGTGGATGCTGCTGCAGAAAAATTGAATATTTTTAAGCTTTTTGTTAAAAAGATAATATTTAAATTTGTAAGACATTATTAGCCGTACTAACAGTACTTTTAATCAATACTTGTAAAAGTGAAAAAATTCAAGGAAACAATTTATGCTATTGCACTGCAAAACAACCAAATAAATTTTATTAGATGTGTATTGGATGTCATTGCGGTCATCCGTTTAACGGTTTGTCGTTCACTCGCTAAGTTATTCACAAATAGAGGCTTCTCTCGAGCCCGCGCTCGAAAGAACAGACTTTCTAGGTAAGTGCCGGTGGTTGACTCGTTGTGCCATCAATGATACAGGAAGTAAACAGAACGGCCAGGTGAATGTTGACCTTACGGTTAATTCATCCGAGTCCTGTACGTCTGACAGACTATCGCAGTGATTTTGTTATCGAATCTGAGCGTAAACGAAGAAACGAACGTGTTGCGCACGCACGCAGCTCGTATAGTCCGCGGAAGAACCGCAATAGTAATTTATAAATTACAACCTGCGCGACTCAGTGTGATTAGGAAATTAATGCACTGTTACGCGACCCCAATAGCTAATTGTACAAAAGAGCGCATCCGTACTTTCTAATTACCGTCAATGACGCGTGCGCGAAAACGGGACGAAGTTTTTGCAATAGCTTTATATAATCCGCGATATGGTGTCGTTGACCATCGAATATTATCGTTAAAATGTTTATCGTCAATAAACGGACAAGTATATGTATAGTATGCTTAACAGAAAATAGATAATTCAGGCATTGCACGGGGCATTGTCGGGCAGAATTTTTAGCGCCTATTAATTTTTTTAAATAAATTCAATTTATGAATCACAAATATGTGCTGTTTGCTTTCAGTCTTTAAAACGTAGCACTTAAAAGCTATGATAATATCGCTAATTTGACATATTAATTAAATTAATTAATATTAATTAAATTTCTCGCGAGAAGTTTTTATCGCGGAAGATATTACCTCAGCCAGAATTTGAAACTATTTCAGATAGCGTGATCCAGGTTTGATTTTTGGCTAAGATTTTTCACGATAAAGATTTCTTGCGAGAATTTAATTGATATTATCAAATTAGTAAGAAGAAAACGTAACTTTCGATTGCTATGTTTCAAAGATCGTAAATAAACTACATAGATAACAATGAAAATTAATTAAATTCTTAAATTTATTTAATAAATTGTATCTCCATTTACTTTATCGATTATTATTAGTATTATATTATTATTATTTCTTTACTTTACAATATTTTCAATACTTTTAATATTTAATATTACTTTTACTTTAACTAAGTAATACTTTCAATATTTCCAATATATTTATTTTTAACGCGATACGTTGGTTTGTCTCGTCAGCTTTTTGCAGCCTGATCATCTGGATTATCTCACCAAGGTCTAAAGTTCGCATAATTATGAAGCACAATTAGCATTAATGTGTATAATAAGCGACAACACGCATGTCAGGTGACGCATGTCAACAGCAGTAAAGTACACGCGCGTGAGCCAGTTTTGCAACGTATGGAGCAACCGGTGCGGCGTTTTATCGTCGACTTAGGTACCGTAAGTTCATAGCTCATAGAGCACGGTTCAACGCCCTATTTAAGGCTTTCATCGCGATACAGGCGGACGGACGATTTCAAGTGGAATAATAAAGCCGGGGGCACGGAGAATGCGGCGGAATGCGTCGCGAATTACAAAAGCGCGTTTTAATCGCCGACCCCGCGTGGGTCGTTATTACTGCCGGCTATTGTCTCATTTCTTTCATTCCTGGCCTTCCAATTGGAGCCGTGCATCTGCACTGTACGCCGTGTTTACCAATTATACGCGCCAACAAAACGTTTCCATTCAACTTGAGACGCTCTCGCATGTATCTCTTTAGCGCGATCAAGACGTTCAAATATAAACGTCAAGTGCTGCTCTCTCTCGAACAAATTCACGAAATAAATCGATTTTAAAATAAAATCTACGCGATTCTTGCCAGCCGCGTAGGCAGGCTTATAAGCTTCTGCTGTTAAAAGGAAATAATTATATTGCAATTTACAGACTCGAATCGCAGTGACGAGAATGAGATGAGAAGGCATTTCTACGTACCCAGATTAGAACGTTGAGGGAGCAGAAGACGTGCCTGATGCACGTATATCCTGTGCGGCCCATGATTCGATCCTTCATCGGATCCTTACTCCGGAAGGGTTGGCAATGTTTCCTGGAAATGTAGAAATAGCAGCGTAATCCCTTTGAGCAAAGGCAGAGAAGGCGGGCAAATATATCGCTTATGAAAGAAAGAAGCTCTTGAGATTAGCACCGCATCGCGAATTGACGTGAGACTGTGGTGGACCCGTCAAGGTCGCGGAGCTATCTTGCTCACGAGTGTTAATTACATCGACTCAATCAGCAACTTTTGTTCTCCATCGGAGAGCATACGATTCTCCTCTGTGCCACGAATATCATTACGATAATTAGATATCACCGATAAGAAACCAACCGTGCGCATCAGCGCGAGAGCCTCGTGACGCGCATCATGGATCACCAGGAAATACTAAGTCTACGTTCGAGGAGCAACCTGAGGTGGACAGGACGGTGGGAGGAAGGGGAAGAAGCCACGATGAGAGAGAGAGATAGAGAAAGAGAGAGAGAGAGAGAAATAAAGAAGAGGAACGGGCGGTGAGAGGAGATCGAGAAGGAGGAGGAGGAGGAAGAGGAGGGAGGAGAGGGGAACAAGATCGACGTGCGACCTACGCGAGCGAGAATCCCTCGTCGAATACACCGACGAGGAAGGTCCGTAGGATCGTCCCAGCTGACTGATTGACCCGACCAGACACAATCCTCGCCCGACGTTCCGATATGTTTGAGAGCCGACCGATACGATTGGCTTCAGTCTGGCCTCCTCTTCGGGCCTTCCAGGTCCGCTAACGGGACCTAGCCGCGATCGAAGTCGCTCACCCATACCTCTTGCGATCGCAATCACGTAAATCGCGATAGCAAGAGGTGGAAGTGACACCGGCGGAGGATGTTGCTTATCGGACGTCACTTTTCCCGTAGGCAGCCGCGAGAGAGGAAAAGACATTCTCAAGGCCGCTCATGGAACCCTGAGAGGCGTCTGATCGTTCTCCCGTTCTTCCCTTTTGCGTCTCGTAATCGCATCGTGTGCCGCTACTCTTCGTTAACCTTTTACATCTCTCTCTTTCTGACACATGCGCACACACATATACGGAACACGTAGAACACTAAGGTGCAAAGGTGAAGGTAACTTTCGCCGAAAGGTCTCGTATATAAAAATCTCCTAGAAACTCTTATTCAGGCGTATAATGATCACATCACATTATCTCTACCAGGTCCCCACGGTGTATCTTTTGATTCTCAAAAGATAAAATCAGATCAAATCTGCACATAATCTATTATTTGCAAATAAGAATCCCAGCATTCTTACACATTTTTTTTATTTAATTTCATATCAATTTCTCTTCAACTTTTATATAATTTTTTTAATAAGAATTTTTGATTTATTAAAGACAATAGTGAATTACTTGAAAGATTCAAATAATTCTTCCTAGATTATAAAAAAACATTAAAATATTAGCGTACTGGAAATTTAAATTATGACGATCGTCTGCAACGGTCCATGTGAGTTTCCTACGTTAAGTCATCGCGATAGCTATGCAAATAATATTGATCGGACAATGCATAAATGAGAGAGATGTTGAATAAAAGATCATCCTGACAATATTTCTCACATCAACGATGCCATCATCTACGATCTCACGTTGTTACGATGCTTTCATTCCATCGCTTGTTTTCATCGGGTAGCTCACGATACATTATAATTAGCATAATTAGTGGGGCACAAGCAATTTTACTAAATTATCAAATTCTCTCTCGTATCCGTCCACAAAAAAAAGCAAGCCGAAAAATAAAAAAATTGTCTAAACCTACAATTATTAAAAGAAAAAAAGCATCTCTTCTTGTGTTTAATCAAAATAAAATTCAAAATAAATAATTCAAATATACCGTTTAATTAAAAATTTTCAATTCTTGACGAAAAACTTTCACGATTTTATAAATAACTAGAATTAAATGATAAAGAAAAATATAAATAAACATTTAAATAAACATTTACCTAACTAAACACATGATTAGCAATAATTAATTCGAACGCATACAAATAGCTCTTAATTCTCAACAAGTGGAAGCGTAAATAATCATGCGGACATTTGCGACACTGTCGAGGCGCAACAATTAATGCAAATAATTTTTCAATGTTTCTTTAAAAACTCGTACATCTGATAATTAACACAAATAACTTTTTAGCGTCTTTAAAAACTTCGTATATCTGACGCGACGATCCGATTCGGATATCGAGCTAGCTTTCAGTAAAAAAAAAAGTACATGGCACACTGTGTCGCAGAAACATCCACGAGTTAACGGAAAATCTGTTATCAGCTTGCTGCATGATTAATGCGATTCCCTACTTGGCGCAATGAGGGCCGTTATCAGAATTGAATAATATTGATTCGCCTTATCAAGAAGCTGCGCACGCTCTCACGCAGAACTCCGCCCGTCATCGTAATATATTCGTGCCACTTGTCGCGGACTCGTCCGTTAAACAAGAAGCGAGAAGAAAAAAGCCGCGGACGGCTAAAAGAAGCGACGCAGAGTGGAACGGAAGGGGCGCGCATCTAATGGAAGAAAAAAAATAGAACGTTCGATCGCCGATGCGATCCAGGTTGTAAAAGGCGCCCGTGGACTTCACCTTGCTGCGATTGCATCTTCTCCGTCTCTCGGTCGGAATTATCACGCGTTAAGAACACGGTGACATTTATAGCGTGCGCTGAAAGCGTGCGGAAGAAAGAAAATCCCCCTCCGTGCGTTTCAGTACGACGGTGTATAGTTATACACCTCCGTGTACTCTTATTTTTATCCCGCCTGGCTGTTACATTATTATTATTATATGGAAATTCCGATATGACATCAAGTTGCTTCGCCGTTATAACATTTTATAACCAGTTATTAGTGAGGTATATCAAAGGAACAATAAAGCGCTCAAAACTTCTCTTTCCCATTTTGCGCAAAGAGAATCTCTTCCAGCTCGGAAGAGATGGGTTTCGAGGAAAAAATTAAATTTTAATCGAAGATTTCTAAAGACTGATTATCATTAGTTTGATTTAGACGCGATGAAAAATTGCTCGTGCGAGTGCACGCCGTGCACGAAGATATTTAATCGACACCGAGATCAATTTTCACGGACGAGATGGAAGGCTGCGTGAAAATAATGTGCACCAGAGTGCGAAGGGGCGCACAAACGGTCCCCCTGCCTCGACTTCCTGCCAATTGCGGGCAATTTGTGATCATCTATGATCTCCCCACTCGTCGACGCCCGTCGCCGTCGCGTGAAATGTGTGCGTGTGTGGACACGGTGTCTAAATGTAAAAGTTAACGCGGCCCGGTTCTCGGCTGCGGGCCCCGTCTGTCTCTTTCACCATTTTACGTGTGTCCTACTCGCTCAGCTTCCCACCAGTGATGTAATCGAGGAAAGAGGATCGCACGCGTGTCTTATCCTTATCAGTCTTCCGGTGGTTCGCATACGTGTGCGGAATGTACCGTTGTTCCTCCTGGCGCGAAAGTATAAACTCACTATAAACTGTAATTAACAATTAGTAATTTATACTAACCCTCTTTGTTCACCTTAAAAAATATCCTTAATAATTGAGCATTGATTTAAACAGCCAATATCGAGAGCGCTTTTTCGAGTTTATATCGCTCTTGACACAAAGATATACAATTATTGAGACCTTACGGAGTATATTAGTTACCTCGTGCAAAATAGTTGCGTAAGCTATGCGGTTACATGCTACGAGAATATGATTTGCAAAAGCTATAATTATGCCGCATTAGAAACGGGAAGAATATCGAACGCGTAACGAGTTTTGCTGAAGAGAGCTCGCGTACATGCAGCGGAGCGAGCTATGGTATCATACTTATTACGATGATCTTTAATTTTCTGGCGCGATCAGCTGTCGGCGAATAAAAATTATGATTATATAAGAATTACTTCGAAGTCTGTTACGTATGATAAATTGATCGCTAATCGTAAAATGATATGTCGAGACATGCGTATCCCTCATCGAACAAAGCCGCGTACGGATACGAATTCAATCGGTTTAATCCCTCTTCTCACGCATACGTGATCGGTTTCTTAAGCACGGTATTAAGAAAGACTTTTTCGGCCGACAAATCCATCATTGAAATTCTAGCATCGTCCATCAAGCATTTGCATTCTGTCTTTTTTTTTTTTTTTTTCGAAAATAACAATCACCTAAATACGCTTTTACGATGCAGGAAGTACAAGTTGTATATTTTTTTTCATTGAAGGATCAAGAAAATAATTGGAAAAGAAAAATATTGCAATGGAAATATACATTACGAAGTGAAATTCATATATTTTATTATATATATATATATATATTTCTATTTTTATATAATACTTCTATTTTGTACAGTATGAATAATATTTGCGTAAACAATGTTAATATTAATTTTGTATTTAAAGTGGTAAAATGTAAATTAAAAATGTGACGTTATTTATATTCTAATAATGCCATTTAAATTCTTTCTAATAAGCAACAGTTAGATAGCATTGAATGTAATCATACTAATATTACAGCTGTGTGATCTGCGTCTATGAGTCGAAATGAAACGTTTCCGATTGCAGTAGCCGTAATTTTACGTGTATCCAGACCTGATTTCAAAAAAGCTCAGGCCTTAATTGGGAAATCCGTTATAAGGTCTAAACCATTTCACAATAATTAACAACGTTGAGCGCATTTAGGTACGATGGTACCTGGACGAGCAGAGGTTATAAAACTGTTGCTGCAATTTCAACACTCGAGTTTGGAATACGCGCCATTTCTCACGAATTTATGAAGGGAAGAGTAATAAACCGAGGAGGTATGATGTCTTCGCCGAAGAAAGCGCCGATTCATTGTTCTATTAAATGTTGGCGCATGGGAAGAGAAATCGACGAGCGGCCTGTTCGCACGATCGATTTCCTGGCACTCGGGATAACCGCGTGCGTTATCGGAGCGTTTTCTAACTTAAACACGGCCGGAAAACGGACTTGCAATTTTAAGTGGAAAAACCGACGAAGGCGATGTCGTCCCGGCTTTTCAGACATCTGAGAAAATCAGCGAGATACAATGAAACTTTCTCTCCCATTCTCTCGAAGGAAACGAAATGGATCTCAAGCGTTGCACTTGCGAAGTACCACGCTCGATTAGACAAATTGTCTAATTTGTAATTACGCATAAAAAATGCCGTAAAGGGACGCGTGCGTCAATAAACTCGCATAACGATCGCGATTCGAGACAATTCGCTGAAAACATTAATCCTTCCTGTCGAGGTCTAAATCATCTCGTCGAGACTGATAAGGCCATGAGATACACGCGACAGTATTAATCCAACCACTAACGTGATCATCTTCTAATGCGATGAAGCAACGAGGAGGAGACGCTATTACGAGTCTGGCCTTCAAAAGCAATAATACAAAATAATTTCAATTTGTAATAAAACACTTACAATTCTAATTCATAAATTACATATTATAGTTTTTTAGAAAATATAAATATAAATATAAATATAAATATTTAAAAAAAGCTTCGTATATGTTTAGAATTGTCAACATTTCTTTTTTAATATCTTTAAACAAAAAATTTTTTTAAATTTAGAAAAAGATTTTTCCTTCATGGACCTATAAGGAGGAAATTTTAAAACTTTTTTCGAATTTTTAACATAATATTTTTATAATTAAAATCAAAATAGTCTAAAAAAATATATTCTTTTTAATTAATTTAAAAGATGAGATTTCCTCATCTGTTTTCTCTTTTAAGGCCTTGTTTGCTCTTTTTATTCAATCGTTAATTAGTCGGGTACAACAGATGTTTCAGTATATATTAAAAAAAAAATTAGTCCTAGTTCAGTTAAAAAGATTTATGATGCAATCTGGTGAACATCTGTTGATTTTAGATATTATATCATAGAAAGAACAAAGAACTTAATAAAGAAGTTACGTATTCGTGATTCTATTTTCACTGATGTAAAAATGTAAGAAATCACCGACATTACCAATAATGCGAGCTATAGATTTCAACAATGTCTGATCTATGCACGCAACATTTCTCGTGATGTAATCGCGTAATCTTACCCGTGCGTGCATTTACGCATCGTACAGTTATCGTAAACTCATTCGCGAACACATCGCCAACCGTATCCAGGCCCAGTTCTGTTTATAAGCAGAAATACGTGAGTTTCACATGCTGAATTCGCAAAGCATTTCATAACACCGTTTTGCCGGTCAAGACACAAATGAGTCACATTCGCGCTTTACTAAGCGAATTTTACGTTACAGATCCGGTCTGCTTTATTCCGCCATGACATACGAACTGAATGAACTTACGAAATATAGTAACAATTATTTCAATTATCAGAATTTAGCAAATTACCGCGACTTGACATTCTTAAAATATCCCTATTTTTAGTCACTTCCAACATTTCTTTTCCAATTTTTTTCCCAATCCTTTCCTGACGTCACAGCAAAATCATTCTCGTCAATTTAATTGTATGTAAATAACGCTAAGAGGCTAAGATAAATTTAATGACAAATGTCTAATATCCTCGCTAAAAAGATGTAAAATTGGCGCGTCTTACAAGCAGAAATTCAAAACAATGCGCAAGAAAGACAGTCGTTTCGTTTGAACGAGTGAAATTTTCAAATAACGAATGTAATAATATACACCGATCACTCACGGATTGAATGAAGAGGCTCATCCGTATTGTTCTCCGCAGAGAGCTGTCGTGAAGAGAGCTCTTCGCCACTGAGTGGCTCACAAAAGTTCATAGAAAGCGCAATCAAAGGTTGACTCGCGTAGCTTCGCGGCAGCTTTCGAGTTCGCGGATCGACTGCGCGATACCAGTCCGCAGCAACATCCGTTCTCCGTTTTCTCCGAGCTAATACGAGGCTCGCCATCTGACGGTTCGTGATAGATACAGACGGTGCAACGGACTGCCCATAGCGTTAGTTATAAAAGTCAGAGAAACATGCAATATTCATTTCACAATTAGTGTGTAAAATTCTGATGGTTTATCGTAACGGATGTGATGTTCAAATAGAAATAGCTAAAAGAAATTTATTAACATTTAGCTCGTGTTACGATAAAATCACGATGAACTTTCTCGTTTAGACATAAGATAGATAAAACGAAGAAGTAAAAAAATATATAGGGCTATAAAAATAATGCCCAAATATTCATGTAAAAATTTAATAAAATAAAAAAATATCTATTTTCTAACAAACGTTTCGATTCTGTTTCTGAGTTATCCTTGTCATTTTACAATATAAAAATAAAAACAAAAGTTATTATAAAATAACGAGTAAAAGAACAATTTCGTACTCTAGAATCAAAAAAGGATGAGTACTTTGAAATTGCAAAGTCCGAAGATTATGATAGAAAAATCAAAAGTAGAAAACCAAAAAAATTATCCCAAAAAAATAAAAAAGAACAGGGTATATATAAAATTTTGGTAACAAATAAATTAAGCAAGTTATATTGATTAAATAAGGAATGAAAATCAAAAGTAAGACATAAGAAATCATTAAATAATATGGCAAAAATAAGCAATTAAAATATCAAACTGTTACAAAAAATGCTAATTTATTATTGATAACATTTGTAACATGTAAAACAGTTTGATAGTTCAGCGCTTATTTTTACTATATTATTTAATAATTTTCTTATACATGTAACTGTTCCATTTCTTATTTTAACTTGATGACCTGCCCATTTTATTTATTTCCAGAGTTTTATGTTCACTCTTTCGTTCTTAAGAAAGATGTTGATATCAAGAGCATGAGATTATTCTTTTATATCAATATTTTATCATGGTTATTTTTATTTTTATTTTGCAAAGGAACGCTGAAAATAACAGATCCGAAACAGACTTGAAACAGACCCGAAACATTTATTTAAAAATTGATATCTCATCAAATTATATTTAAATAAATATTTGCATATCTTGAACTACATCGCATTTTCATAATCCTATATATTTTTTTATTTCTTTGTTTTAAATATCGAAAGTACATTATATATTTATATAATTATTGATAAAATAATTATATAATATATATTTTTTTATATTAGTATTTATTATTAGTATTATAGTATTTATATTATTGTGAGAGTATTTATAATTATGTTATTTAATTATATATTATTATGTATTATAATTATGTATATATAATTAAATTAAATAATTTAATAATATAAATCATATATGATTATTACAAAAAATATTAAATAACATTTTTTTAATAAAATAATATTTTTAATAAAACAAAAAACATAGTAACTGTAGTAACAATATTTTTAATGAAATTTAATAAAATTTTAATTTTTACCATTTGAAACCATTAGAATAATAAAAGAAATATTAACATTTCATATTAAAAACTTAAATTAAATTCTACTCAATTGTACCTCAATTAATGCCCACATACAAAATTTACCATTACAATTTTTAATTATTTATTAATAATCTTTTAAAATTCTTTAATAAACAACAGTATGCTACAAAATCTAATCCAACTTTATAAAAAAAATACAGACTCACTATATTTCTTACTCTAAATGTAACGGAGACCGTATACTTATTTGTTTATACATTTTACAAAAACTAGTTATATAATTGAAGACATCGGATTTTCAACACTATTAATTTGAGATAGTATTTTTCGTAATAAAAATTGTTCGCG